GAGCTGAGGGGTTCCAACGTGAAGAAACTGAAAACAAAAAAAAAAGAAAAACTGAGATTTTTTTTCAAGAAGGAGAAATAAACTCAGAAGATCAAAAAAGAAAAAAAAAAAAAAAGACAACTGAAGCGCTGAACAGTGTGGTTACATCTCCCTGTCTGCCTCTCTGAGCCCGCCGGGTGCCTTCTTTGGCCAGGCATTTAAAAACTTCAGCTGCCTCTGGCTAAATAAAAACAGCCAGCTTGCGCTTTAAAAAATATATAAATATATATATATATATATATATACACATACATATATATATCTATATATATATATACATTTTTTTGTGCCGCCACTCAGCAGTATGTCACCTGAGTTGGAAGAGAACAGCCAAGGTGAGTATGACGTACGACCTCCACTGCTTAAAAATGACTTCTTAGGTAGGGTACCATATGAGTCAGCCACTAGCTAAAAACATAAACACAAGTAGGTGAATTAAAGCATCCCTGCTTCTGCCACAGTTTTAACATTATTGGGTGACGATAAAAGCTTCCACACACCAGCTGCGCTTAACCTGCTTCAAATCTATTATTTTACTGCATCATGCTTGTACGGAAAGGAAATATAAATAAACATGGGACCAGAAGCCAGTCATTTAAGGGTATTTGAGTCTCTAAGGCTACATCTCTAAGCCAGTGTAGCCTTAGAGATGATCACTGGTGGTGAATACAGAAGACCCTCATGTCAGGGTACAGTCATTCAGCGTTCAGCTTATGAATTTAATGTGCCTCAACGATATGATGCAAAATACTTAGATCTGTGGTGAAGACAGACAGTGTATACCTGTGTTGCCCGCCAGTGTGCCTTCTTGGCCAGGCATTTTAAAAACTTCAGCTGTCTCTGCATTATGTCCTTGAGGCATGGCCATTTTATTTAAGGGCAGATTTTTTCTTGACTGGAAGCTGTTCCTCACACAGATGATTCCTCAACCACAGGTATCCTCTTTTAAGCTTGCTCTGTAGATGCTCACATCCCTTACCTTCCCCACTCTTTTCTCATCCTCTGTTCACACACCCCCTCAAAACTGCTCTGATCTGGATTCAGCTGCCTTTGAATCCAGCAAAGAGCGGCTCACGCTAATATTGGGGAAAGACACTAAGTGCCAAGTTGCATTTGTGTTTGAGTGGTGCATGAGAAAGAAGAAAAGCTTTGTAAGTAGCAGGGGAGCTTGACATGTACCTTGAGGCGGCTTTATGCTGTGTTGTACCGCAGCACACTAATCAGTCTGTCTGTGAGACAGAGAGAATGAACATCGGAGGAGGGTGCAGTGATGACAGTATAACTGCAACTGGATGTGGGCAGTTTGCAAAAACAAATCTCATGTATGTGTATATTAAGATGTATTACGCTCCTGTTACCGCTGGGGGGGAAAGTACGTAATAACTGGCCAAGCTTGCATTGACTATTTTAATGAATGGAAAGCGTGCAGCCTCTCGTTCTCTCTATTCAGCACGAGTGTGGCCTAAGAGACCGGAGCTTGTCTGACGTGTGATGTAAAGATCGGAAACTGTATACTTGCCAGATGATGTGTTGTAATATTTTATGCTGTTGTTATATTAATGCCATTTAGTCATTTCCATATCTTTGTGCTTGTTTTTGAATCAATCCTGTTCTTCTGTCCAGGTGAAATCAGTGTTCCCCAGCTGGACGCAGGGATACTGTCTGAGGAGGAGGGCAGCGCATCAGCTCGCCCTCTGGTGCCTGTGCCTGGGGTGGGCTCAGGGTGCGATGACGGCGGAGGGGGGGGCCCAACGCAGACCCAGGACGATACTGCGGCTGGAAATGGGTCTGTAACAGTACCAGCAGCGGAGAGAGAAACCTGGACCAGACAAATGGACTTCATCATGTCCTGTGTGGGTTTTGCTGTTGGCTTGGGCAACGTGTGGCGGTTCCCTTACCTGTGCTACAAAAATGGAGGAGGTGAGCTCCCAGAGCACTGTGTAAATGTACTCCGAGTAAAACGTTAAGCATGTATGACTGAGCATGGTGGCTCTGTGTTTAACACTGCTGCAGAGGGCAAGAAGGTTACAGGTGCAAACCTGCTGGTTGGCTTTCTGTATGCATTATCTTCCTAGCACAGATGAGAGACACGCATGTTTGGCTAATTAGCGATTCTAAATTGGTAGTAGATGTCTCTGTTGGACTGGCACCCTTTATCCTCCAACTGTTGTCTGGTGGGATAAGTTCCAGCCATAGCATAAAGTGGATAAATGACTGGTATTAAAAGCTAATGAAAAAAAGCTACCACAAGAGAAAGTCTAGTTTGAATACACTGAAGCTCTTTTCTTTTAATGCATTCTTCATGGATGCATTATTTAAAATAACCAGTTTAGGAGCTCCTTCACTTCACACTACTGGTGCCATCTGCAAAGATTATACCAAAGTTATACCATGATAATTGCCCTTGTATAGCAAACAAAAGGTGGCTCAGCTATCAGCCCTGAGGGTCACACTGCTGGTGAAAAAGTCCACCATTTAGCCACGAAACCACCATGGGACTAAGTCCTTACTGACCTCTTTATAATTATTAAAATACTATGAATACAATATTCAGCAACAAGAAATTCAACAATTTCCATATGATATGAATAAAGTATTTATCCATCTCTGTATCTATTTATAAAATATTATTTAATGCAAAAAAGATTACGAGTTACAATTAGTTTGGTATCAAAATGAAACGTATATTTAAAAAAGAGATTCCAGGAAAACAACGTTTCTAAGTAATCCTTTAAAGTATGATCCTCTAAGTGAACGATCATTCAGCAGTGAAAATAAACTCAGATAGCCAGAAGGACAACCGTGAAAGTCAATGCGATGAGATAAAGTTAGACAAAGCAGGGCCTGCGTGGCTGTCAACACGTAGCTCAAAAGCCCCAGCATGTGATATCACCATATTTATTATAGCTGCCTGTTGCTTCATAGGCAGACTTAGGCCAAGCTGCACTACGACCTTCCTCTTCCTTATGTTGGCATATGATGTTATTTGAGCTGTTCCAAGTCCTCCTTTCATCTGTGCCAACTTTGTTCCCTCATTACCTGACCTGGCTGCAGCTTTTGGCCTAGACTGTTTCCTTATCTCTCTTATCTCTGCCCTACCCACTGTTTCATTTTATTACGAGGTGTTTAGTTGAAGTAAAACTAAATGAGAGACTGTGTGTCTTAGTCCAGCCCTTTTTGTCTCCCATCTATGTGTCTTGTGACGAGTGGCTCTGATACCCACCTTCTGGTATCATATAACAATAGCCTGCCTCACACAGTCCACCCCCCCCTGTGTTCCTGCCCAGCACTCATGAGACAAACAAAGGTGCTCTTTCCCACCCGCCTGCTGATAAGGAGGCATATGAATATGTCACACAATAACCGTCCTGTGACTGCGCCCGTCCTTTCCCTCCGCGTCAGCGCAGTAACATCCGCTACTTCACTTTCCACCTTTGACCAACCCAGGGTACACCTTGTAACTCAACAAAAAGTATCAGATAAGAGCTGAGGCTTTAAGTGAGCACTGCTTGTTGGTGAAACAAGGACACGCTCCTCTGGAGACAATACCAGGTGAATACACTGTGAAAGCACAAAATTATTGCCCAGACAATCTCATCGTTTTATTTGTAACCCAGCTCTTAGGCCTGATGTGTCCGGTTGAGCTATGATTAGAGAGGATTTACTTAAGCCTATTAAGGATGCAGTTGCGTGATGATTTGGCCAATTTGTTTGGTAATGTCAGCACAAGAATTTTCTCCACTCATTCCATTCAGTCGTCCTATCGCATCTTTCTCCCCTTCTCTCTCTTTTCCTCTTTCTGCATCTCTCTCAGTCTCCCACCCCTCTCTCTCTTAGACTCTCGCTCACGAATGTTTCCTTATATGGCTACAGCCCTCTCCTCTCAGAGAATCACATAAAGAAAAATGAAGCGGATGAGAGAGAAATTGTAAAGCATTTGCACAGCGAACCAGGTCAATGCCTTTGTGTGTCATTTTTGTTATTTGTTGAACCTCTGACACGTTGTTGTCCCAATTTTTCTGCCAGCCTCTCCGGTGATCTGTCCATCTTTCCCTCCTTTCTTCTTGGCCTCTTTCTGCTCTGCGTCATAGCTGGTCATGTGACTCCACTTCCATCTGCACGCTGTGGTGGCATAACCGAGTTATGTTTATTACTATTCCACCCAAACCATTGCAGGTAGATGCAGGGAAGTAAATTCCTTGTGCTGCCTTTTTTGCACCTTTTTGCTATGTTTTCTTCTTCCTCATCAGAGCAGGCTACAGTGTGAGAATTCAAAATGAATTTATTTATAGAAAACACTTGCTCTGAGCCAGCTGCTGCTGATCAAAACAAGTCCTAGATGTCTCTATCAGGACTAATAATTCCCATCTGACTCCATTGTCGTCTCATTTTTCTGTCTCCTCACCTTGCAGTTTTTGAGTTCAAGGACAAACTAGTGCAGTTGCCTCTGCACGCGGGAGACATTGTCTCCCACACTGACTTTCAGCGCAGCTTTTATCTGTGGCCTTGTCTGTCCTCCTCCCTGACTCCCCCCCCCCCATGTTCTGTGTTGCTTCTTCCTCCTTTTAACCGTTTCTTCTTGAGCTGAACGTTTAATTACTATGAGCCTTGTTGGTGTGTGTGCACTTTGCATTCTTAAAGACATTAAATATGACTTTCATGTCACGTTTTCTGCCTGTTTCATTGTCACACATATTCAAAGAGCCTGAATTTGTTAATTCTGCAGTTGAAATTAGAATAAATTATAATATGAATTAGTTGAATTTAATGTTAATGATATAATTAGTTAAAGATTTGAAGATATTAATGAATAGCATTTAATTGTCTCTAAATATGCTTCCTAGCATAACGTCTGTGGGATTTCTGTGGGATTTCTAATTTCTACGGTCTATTTAAATTTTTAAACATGAAAAAATGAAGTAATGTATTTCTCCAAAGTTACTCATAGTTGTTTAATTTAGCACATGAGGCATTCATTGTGTTTATTAAACAATATTAATATTACAGTAGCACAGTATTGAACACTGTTCCTACCTGCCTGTGATGAATATGAGTGCCGTGTGTTGCAGGGGTTTTCCTGATCCCTTACTTGTTGATTGTGTTCATCGGGGGCATCCCAGTTTTCTTCCTGGAGATTGCCCTGGGACAGTTCATGAAGCAAGGGGGGGTCTCTGCCTGGAACATCGCGCCCCTCTTTAAAGGTACATGCAACACATTTATCTAAAAAGCTATAAATCTAGCCACCATTTTTGATTTAGAGCTCACCTCTCCTCTCCATTAGGTCTGGGCTTGGCCTCAATGGTGATCGTGTTCTTCTGTAACACCTACTATATCATGATCCTGGTGTGGGGCCTCTACTTTCTCTTTCACTCTTTCACTAACCCACTGCCCTGGGCCACCTGCGGACACCCCTGGAACACCCCCAACTGTACACAGGACTTTCGACGCACCTGCCACAACCGCAGTACCGCCCAGCCTGCTCCACCATCGTCTGCCGCCACCAACTCCAGCCTCTTCTCCTCCACATCCCCGCTGAACCTCTCCTCAGCCCAGCTCCTCCTCAATGGCAGCTGCATGGATGTTGAGGGCCTGCGTTCTCCTGTCATTGAGTTTTGGGAGTATGTCATCCCTTGATTAAGCAGGCTTTCTGCAGTTTTTAAGTACATTTTTAAGGCTGTGCACGCAGTGGTTTTTTTACCAGTTGCAAAATGCATCTTATTTTAAGTTTTGCTGGCATTTATATGCCATTTGCAGGATGTATAAGGAAATATAGTTTCACTCCAGCTGTGCACTTTATATTTGAACATTATTTACCTCATAGCTTTAAATGTCTTTGTTGTGTTTGGAAACAATGTTTTTCACATCTTTTGTTCTTTCTTCTAGACGTAAAGTGCTTCGTCTGTCTGGAGGGCTGCACGAGCCCGGTGGTATAAGCTATGAGATGGTGCTGTGTCTTATAGCCACCTGGATCATTGTTTACTTCTGTATGTGGAAAGGAGTTAAATCTACTGGCAAGGTAAAGTATTTTCTGCCTGTGCAATACATAATACACAATGTTACAGGGCTGAGTGCAGATTAATATTTATATCCGTTAGTATGCTGCACATAAAAGGCTGTCAGGGATCATGGAGTGCAGTCTAATGTTCGAACGGCTTCATGGACAGATTTAAATAATTGCAGCATTTTTGCCCTTTGACCCCAAATCAGCTTTAGTGTAATGTGGGGATCAGTGTCTAGACTGAAACACAAATTACTCTAAATATATGCATACTTTTATTCTTTTAAAAGTCATATTCTGTATATCTTTTCACTGCAATCCCTAAATCTTTATTATGTAACACTCCGCATACAGACTGCTCAACCTTCCGCTTTGTAGTTGGCAAAAAAAATGCCCATTCCTCATTCTTTTGAATCTCCTTATGCTGCAGCATATTGAGATGTGTGTGTTTGCATACTTGTGTCTCCAGAGTAGCCAAAGCTCATAGAAAGAGGGGAAAAATAATGAAAGCCACTGAGCCAGCCAGCTATAAGCCGATTAGTAACTTTCCACCATGTTTGAAAGCTGGAAAGGGGCTTTTCTGTCCATGTTCTCCCCTAGATCAAGGCAAATATGTGCTTTCTCACTGCTTTGCTCTCACCACACTGAAGCTTGGACTTGATTTTTCTATAAGGTAGCAAGGTAGCAAGCTGTGACTTTCTCTGTATAATGTGACAAAGACTGCATTCTGAAAAGGACTGCCAAAACCCCCTGCTATTGCAGGAGGTTTACAAAATATCTGGCTTTCCATTTACAGGCTACCTTTTCTCCAAAGTAATATGACAGGCCTCATTACACATCTACTACAGGAAGGACCTAATGGGCTTCTACTTATGACACGAGTATTTGCAAAGCAGGTAATTGTTTAATCAAAGTGATAAAAACATGCTTAGGCCCAGCTAGATAAGCTGATGAACCATGTTGATAAGCATTTCCAGCTAACCTGTTCATTTAATATGAGGGGCCCAACTGTTTAGTTTTCTCCTTTCACTTAATGCAAGTTACTGCACAGTCTTCAAACTTGACCTCCCCACCCCAAGTATGTCCCAGAAATGCTCCTAAAAGTATTTAGAGGTGTGCTTAACAGGTCTTGTTTTTATCTCTCTGCAGGTTGTGTACTTCACAGCTCTCTTCCCTTACCTGGTTCTGGTTGTTCTTCTTGCCCATGGGGTCACTCTGCCTGGAGCATTGGATGGCATTGTTTATTACCTGAAACCAGACTGGTCCAAACTGGGAGAAGCACAGGTTTAACTTTTGCATAAGCTTTGCTTTGGATAAGAACTGTTCAAATGACATCTAAGAAATGTAAGTCAAAAAAATTGGGGGGAAAATTACTCACACGTGTCTTTTCTATAATAGGTGTGGATAGATGCCGGCACTCAGATTTTTTTCTCCTATGCCATCGGACTAGGTGCCCTGACGGCGCTGGGTAGCTACAATCGCTTCCATAACAACTGTTACCAGTGAGTGTATACACAACATAGAATCAGACACTAAAGGGGGCTGAAAGGGGGCCAAAATCAGCACAAAGCCTGAATCTGCATTCTGCTTCATGTGACTGTGGACTTCAGTACTAAAATAAACCAGAAAAAAATGTATTTCCACTACAAATAGGCTTTCTTTCACTATACACCCAATGACAGGGAGAAGCGCAACCTCAGTCTGACCTTGCTAATGATCACATGAAGACCCAAAAAGATCTGAAACATTCCCTCACTTGCACTTTGAATGCTTTATTGTAAGATCTGCTCTTTTCTCTGAACGCCACTATGACTATTAGACTAAAACATTGTGCATTAGAAGTCTGATCGAAGTCATAAATAGTTGTAAATATATAAGAGATCTAGTTTATCTTCAAGCAAACATCCCTTTATGCATTTCCAACAAATGCAGAATATCAAGTATGCACTCAATGAAAACTCTCACGTGGCTTCAATGAAAGTTTTCATTGGTTTGTAAGCTTGCATATGTTTAGCCAGAAGAGACAGATACGTAAACCTATTAAGAGCCTTTTGAGGTATTTGGCTACACAGTAGTAACAAGTAGGGCTGCTTGATTATGGCAAAAATGATAATCACGATTATTTTCACTGAAATTGAGATCTCGATTATTTGACGATATTTA